GACATTGTTTGCCTTGTTATTCAGGTTCAAAATCTCAATTTAATAATGTAAAATAAATCGGTAATTTCACAAACCTAATTAATATGCAATTTTAATTAAAAATGTTTCTCTTGTGAATTATTCAGCAACCCACACCTAATTATTAGTTGTATATTTGCATCAATATATATGCACAAAATTTACCAATTATTCACAAATTTTATAAACCTATAATTATTAAACATGCAAAATTTTTTATAGATTGTTTCTAAAATCCAATAATTCTATGCTTAATATCAATTTATCAATTTTGAATAGTAAAATAAAAAAATCATTCCAATAATTCATCGAATTAATTGCCTCTTTAAATTATAAGCACAAAATTGATTGTAGTTGCTGTACAAGCTTGTAATTATAACTAATGAATCTGTTCTTTTTAAGCTTGATTGCTTTTGGGTAAATTCATTAGGCTTTGTTCAGTGAGAATAAGAAGTAAAATGAAATATATAATTTTGAGAAGAGCGGAATCTTTGCCTGGCCATATTGATCTATGGTAAAGTTTCATTGAATAGTATGGTGATAGTACTGATAATTCAAAGATCCTAGGTTCGAAATTATTTCAGAATTTTAACTTAGATTCAACCAAATGTCTAGTTGGATTCTATAGCTTTTAATATTAAGTTTAAAATTTATACACATTAATCCATGCCATCCTTCAATTTCGTTCAATAAAACTTCAAAAACCTCATGAAATTATAATTAGATATTTTATAGACTCACTATCGTCAATCACACTAAAAACATAAATTTAAAATTTCACCCTTAATTTGTTCAAAATCTCAAGATTTTCACATGCAAACGCCATTTTAGCATCTTTTAAACTGCTTTAATTTATTGCCTTAAACTCAATTCAAGAAATTTATCTCTTTAAATATACATTGTGGTATAGTATTATCTAGATACTTTTTGAAAATAATATGTTTTACTATAAATTAAGCACAAAATAAATTTGAGGCAATTTGTTTGATGTAAAAAAGTGCTTTTGTTATGTAACTTTTTAGTCTGCAAGTATAACATGAAAAAGTTGAAATTGAGCTTTTGGAGCTTTTTTGAAAAAAAATTGAACATCCAAATTAAATTATACTGAAATTACTAACCCATTGTTGCAAGAATTCAAGCTTTTGTTTACTGAATATTTAACTTTCAGATGCCTCCAAGCATCAGTTCCTTTTCATCAGCAACACAAAAAGAGAGCACAGACCTTAATACAGCCAAAAGCACAATCCTTCTCATTCAGAAAATTCAGAATCAAATATCTTCTTATTCCATTTTCCCTTTCAGCACTATCAGCACATGAGGATGGAAGGCTAGAAAACAAAAAAATTCTATCTTAAATTTCGACAACACATTCAATTTATCTTCTTGTTCCCCCAAATTATCTTGCAAATGGCAGTCGAAAAAATCATTGTGTAAATTGCCCTGATGTTATTGTGCCTCAATATTTACCTCCATGTTATCCATATGTTGCACGCATCAATACATTGAATAAATAATGCAGAATAAAATCGATGGAAGTAAAACAAACAGTCTTCATCATATTGGCAGTCACTTGAGTTTATTTCAATTATCCTTCATGCCAGAGATCGAAGCCGATTTTTTCGGCTTAACTCAATTTTTGATTTTTTTGATAGAAAAGAGCCATTTAACTACCATTTTAAGTATTTAAATTGAATTTTATATGCTTTACTATGATTCTGTGTAATATTTTGTCAGCATGTAGCTATAGTAAGCTCAGAATTTCAATTTAGCCGATTTTAAGCCGATCGGCTTAAATTTCGGCTTAAAATCGGCTAAATTGAAATTCTGAGCTTACTATAGCTACATGCTGACAAAATATTACACAGAATCATAGTAAAGCATATAAAGTTCAATTTAAATACTTGAAATGTGTGTTAAATAGCTTTTTTCTATCAAAAAAATCAAAAGTTGAGTTAAGCCGAAAAAATCGGCTTCGATCTCTGCTTCATGCCATCATGTTGTTATGTTTGAAATGATGAAGTGGAGTGATGAAGAAATTAAATTGTGGAAAAGCTTTCAAAACAACATCGACCTTTGAGAATGCTGTCGGATTGAATGATATGAACTTTCAAAGGAGCTCAGGGGTCTTTCACAAGTTCCGTTCAGCAAAAATTTATGAAGTCTATAAACAAATCGTTATAAGATTTCAAATGTTATCCTCGAGCGACAAAAATGTCATGTTGCATGTTTAATTTCCTTGATAGCGATCAAACTGTCAATGATGATTGCATAGGAACAAAGTGGATTAGTAAATCAGCGGACAGAGCAACACTTCAAACTTATTTGTTGTTCATGCTCTTCTTCCTCTCAAAAATCATAGACATCATATTCAAACGATCTCAACGATATAAATCCACAAAGGAACTAGCACATAATCTCCAATATTTAAGATACAAACTTTCTCTATAATTGAAGTCATAAACAACAGCAATAATTTATTGCAGTCAACTAGGTTTAAATACTCTCTCTACTAGATTACAACATGCTCTTTTCTACAAATTAAAGCTTTTCTCTTTGCAAAAAGGACCTAAAGAAGGATTAAATGAACAAGAAATCTACAAAATTTATGTTTAATTAAAACTAGGACATCCACTCATGTAGAAATGTCTTACTCTCATTCACATTAATCCTTTATATTTTTCGGTACCATTCATGTTCATATATCAACAAGCACAACAACAATTTTATGAGTTTAAATTTTGAGTTTATATTCTCAATAGAACCATTTGAATTTTATGCGATAGAAATTTTACTTAAGGATCAATTTGGGAGACTTTAAGATTTAATTTATGCTTGATGCCTTTTTTGTGTGATTATCGGTGACTGGTTTCTTGTGAATTTCAAGATAGAGGAGGAGAGTCCATTTGTTGAGAGTTTTTATATAAAAACCTTGTCGACTTAAAGCTTTGTCACTAAGTTTAATTGATCAAAGATGATGATTTGATAGACCTGTTTTTGAAAATGCTTAAGCAAAGTAAATGGATCCATGATTCAGCGAGACATCTGTCTGATAACTGTGTCTAGAGTAGGGTCAAGAGTCAAACTTGTGCCATAGGTGTAGGTATGGCTCGAAGAGCACATCTTTAGTATATAGGCCTGAGCAAAGGAGTCGCGTTGAAACTAATATGTATGACGGATAGCCGAAATGAGGTAAGTACTCCGGTGGCCCAGTGGCATAGATCTCTAATCGAGTGGTGAGAGATCGCCTCTTTTGAGGTCACTGGTTCGAGGTCCCATCAAATCCGACTTATTTTACATTTACATACAAATACTTATAGGGAGATCTACAATAGGTTCCTTTTAAAATATTTTCAAAACTGATTAATATACCAACTTTAAATAAAACAATTTAAAAGCTTTCTCATGTCATGATAAAGTAAATAAATACATCCCGCAGGTGCAATATTTTCATACTCGTGCGCAAACAGTTGATGTTCGTAATTGAAATAATATTCCAGACTAAAGCTTTCTGTAAACATTAATGGTATGGCCTATAAATGGGTTCAAATTTATAAACCTTCCGAGAAGCAGCTTAATTATGGATATTAAAAATATTTGCAGACTTGCTTAAAAGGAAAATTCTAGAAAGATTCAATATTTTGATTTATGAAACCACTGTAATTGACATATTAAGTCACTCCTACATTTAATCTACAGAAACTAGTCCAACATCTGTTTCTATGATTTTATTTTTATTTTCCATAACAAGAACTGAAAACAAAGTTTATTAAATTACTTATAGCTTCAAGTACATAACATCAAACGCGATGTTGTTTTTTCATTGTATCTTTCACATAAAGCAATGCTGTATACATATGTAGGAAACAAAAATAAATTTCTATAGCAACATAGCAATAACAACAACGTGGTGCGGTAGAATACATCTCAGATATCAAACAAGAAGCACAATGACAACAACATCGGGATTTTGTGGGTTGAAAAGTGGGTGGAAATGGCTTTTTTTGTAGAATGATAAAATAAGGACATTCAACGGAACTAATATTTTCAGTTATAATCTGTTCTTCCGTGAAGGACTTTAAAAATCAATCAGTTATTTTGGGATGGGATTTAAAACTCGGCACGCATGATATGGTTTGTTCATAGTAAGCAACAGATAGATGCTTCACATTGAGATTTAATTAGCTCAAGGCAATGAAAGCTGTTTTCAACGCTACGCGTCCTTTATCATGGAAATAAATTGACAATCGTGTTTGAGTTGAATATAGATTGTGTGTTGCAGCACATGTTTGTGATGAGAGGTTGAAATACTTGCTTTGTAATTGCATAAACTTTCATTTGTGCACATTTGTGCTTTTAAGTTTAGAAGAATATTGAAAATTGCTTTATGCCTGTTTTGTATTGTAAACTTGTCACATTGCTAATGGCTTTTTAACTTTTGAGTAGTGTGAGTAGACTAAACTCAATATTTTTAATTGCCTTCATTCCTGTAACATTGTTTACTTTACCGGGTCGACTTTAAGATCAGACCTTTGTCTTTAATTTCTAATTCCTTAACATTTCACACAAAAGCTTAAACATAGGACGTGCACACATCGCCATTTTATTCTCAAATTCACAATTCAGCCTGAGAATCCCATTCTTGCTCATCCAAATCAAATGTCAAAAAGAATTGTTTATAAATAGGATAGAAATAGTGGTACGTGTGACGTGAAATTATATAAACAGATTAGAATGAAAGAAAAGTGTACGAATCACGTGTATTATATGTTCGACATGTTGGCATAGACATTCTATGAATGTCCTTGTGTTTCACCATTAGAGAAGGATTTTGTAGATTAGAAATGAATCGATTGAATGAATCAATAAAGAAGGAAACTAATCAGAATCACAGCAGGAATTCAATAAACTTTTTTAATTGATTTTCAGTTCCATGAAAAATTTTCAATTTAAAACTTCAATTTTCTTCTTTTTTCTCATTTCAGATCAATGTGGAAGTAATAGCAAGATGGTTCAGGGGCTCGAACCGCCAGACGAAACTACCGGTCTTCTTCTGTATCGTTCGCAGCCCCAATTGTCATCTCGTGAAATTTTCTTCGAGAAATCGAGGAAAATTTTCCATCCATCATCCGTAATCAATTGGTGGAGGAGAAAAACGAGATCGATTTGGTGGGAAACGGAGGAAATGCATCAAAGTGAGTAAACATTCATGGAGACGAGATGAAAATAAGCAAACAAAGAACATGAATTGAGAATTGAGGTCCCCTGAGGACTTTTTGAACCGATAGAATTCGAGGGAGCTTTTATCTTATTGAGCTTTCATTGGCAAGTTCTTCGATACTAAGTAGAATCGAACAGACAGAATTTACGGTAATGAATAACTTTGATGATTAAGCTTTTTAATTTTTGCTTGTCCATCTGAATTTTTCCTAGGCCACTTAACTTTATAAACGAATTGCAACCTCGAATTTAAAAGTCAAACTACCATTTAAAGCTCAAGAGTTTCCAGCCTCTCAACCAAGACTAAAGCATTCAATTCAATTTCTCACGTTATGTCGTTGTGTACTTTGTATGTCAATATATCTTATATTTCATATCTCTTCCATCTTTTTTTTTTCTTTGCTCTCATCCATTGTTGCAGTTGTGTATACTTTCAAAACAAACATGGAGTTTGGATAAGATAAACATCCCCAACGTTTAAAAAATAAAAGATAAAAAAATACAAGTATATTATATTACAATACACAATCAACAGAAGTAAGATAAGAAAGTAAGAGTAAAATAAAAGAATAAAGGAAATTTAAGATAAAATCTTAAAAATTCACGATACAAAGAAAGAATAAGAAGAAGAATACAGCAAATTTTAACCAAAACTCTAAACGTCCTTAAAGGCGAAAATCGAGAAATTTAAAAGGTGATTAATAAAACTTTGGGTTGCATCATTTCTAGTCACGAATACTGAGCTGTCTTCTTTGACTCTATTAATCTAGTCACTATAATCTAGTAAACATTTTGTTATCTAACTTGTGAACGAACAAAATAAAAGATTTAAGTTTCAATTCAAAATATAGAAAATAAACCCAGGAAGTCAACACAGCACCTGGTCGACCTTTCCTCTACATCTGTCAAATAACGCAACCAAACAAACAATAAACCAAAGAACTTTAAGCTCAGAGAGAAGTAAAATTGGTGCCAAAATAAAACACAACTGGAGCCAAGGCATTACAGGCAATGGAGCCAACATTATCTAATGTACCGCCAGATAGAGATAGAGAAAATTTATCATTAGTTGAATTATCATCAGCAGCAACAGTATTAACTGCAACAAACATGGCAACAACAGCCGTATCTTTACCATCTGCAAATAATCAACTCGTTTTATATACAGAACGACCGCAATCATCGTTCACATCTATAAGTTCTATGATATCTAGTGCATCAGCACCATCAAATGCAGCATCAACATCTTCCGTTTCAGCGCCAATTGAGAAGCTATCACGACCAATGGCTTTTGATAAGGTAAGCGATTTGATTGTTATGAGAAAATTGAACAGCCTTTGTGTTCATGCTAAAGGGGGAAATAACAAAAAAGAATAATAAACCGTTCAGAACTTTTTAGTCTAACGGTGCAAATATGAAATTTTGAATTTTATTTTCAATTCAAGACACGATGTCTCTAACAATGAATAGCCACATTAAGTGTCACAAAGCTAGTCTAGTCAACAATAATAAAATTCATTGAATTCAAATTCCAATTCACCGATCTCGTTATCACGAAATTGCGCCAATGCCACTCCTTAGCCAGCGTTATACTTTAATAATAAAAAAAAATCCCCCCTCCAAAAGTCTATTTGATGTTAATGACACACAATGAACAACATTTTCTGCTGTTGTCACGTTTCCTCGAATGGACCGGATGTGTATTGTTTATAAAATGAACCTTTTCAACAGAACGCCTTTCATATGAAAGAACTCATATGCTGAGTGCTTTTTATTCTCTACCATAAAAGGATTGTAATTACTTTTCATATAGATGTGGGATGGATAGGGTTACCATCTAATTTTCATGAAAATACAGGACTTTTGGTAAATTTTTTCGAAAAATACTGGACATAGAGTAAAATTCGAAAATTAACGGAAATTTTCGTGAAAAAAATACAGGACCTGGAACAAAGTTTTCAAATTTATACAGGACAGGGTTTTGAAATACAGGACTGTCCGTTGTAAAACTACGCAGATGGTCACCCTAGGGATGGATGATATGTGTCATTATATTAAAAGTAATCGCTTTCTCTTTTCTGATGTAATTCTTCTTTCGTATTTTGCTGCTTTTGCAGTCAATGAAAATAAAACTTTGTGTGGGTGTCCTTGTTTCGTTCTTATTGTAAGTGGAAGCAGAAAACTATGCGATTATTATGAGTTTCAAGTTGTAGCTATAACGATCAAATTATAAAGTTCTTTATATTAGTTATTGGATTGTTGTGTAATTATGAATTCGATCATTTTGATGACATTCGCTATGGCTAAACCTTAATGGAGAGAGTTGCATGTAGGTTTTTTTCCCATAATTCAAACTGATTTTATTATTCAAACTTATTGAAAATCTTAAATTAACGAATCTACTAAATTAAATTGAATGTTTTCAAGTAAGTAGCTTTTGCTCAAAAATTAAGCACTTAATCAACTCAATTGATTTCGTATAAAGTAAGATCTCAAATTGAATGAAAGTAATTCAAATTATTTTAAAACTTTTTTCATCTTCAAAAGAGAATAAAATGAATTTCACACAAACTTTCTTATCAGAAGATGAGATCGTCAAGAGGAATTTTCATGAATTAAAATGCTCGAAATAATTCATGCAAATTTTCAAGAAAAGCCTTTATAAAAAGCTCCAATTAGATTACTTGAAATTTAAATCGCATACGAAGAAAATAAAAGCTCCTACACAGAATGTAAGATAGCATTTTCATCGTCGGATGTATGGAATTAATTTAAACAAGCTTAGAAAACAAATTGTATATTTGAATGATGAGTCACTGAGGGTTGAAGATTGTGAGTGGCGCATTTGTTAAAATTGTTAAATTAAATTTTACAAATTTTTTGAATCTCGAAATTGTTTAACTTTGCTTTTGGTGATTATAGATATCAGCTTCATCTTCTTGAAATCTTTAGAGTGCTGTATATTACTAAACTTCCCTGCAGTTTCTTTAGTCATGAAGAAGTAGTGCTAAATTGCAAAAACTCATAAGTGTAGACATTAAATCAGAAAGCTTAGAATTATAATCATCAACTTTAAATACTGTCAACTCAAAATACTAAAACCGAACTTATCATAACCCAGACAAACCATATACTCACGCACATCTAATTTCATCAAAGCTACAACAAGCTGAAATTGAAATTAGATATTTAGAATACATAGTTCCCTTCAAATGAGTCGGAAAAATGAAAAGTACAAATACAGCAAATTTCATTTAGAAATTGGAACAATAAAAAGAGAAAACTAGTGTATCGGGTAGAAACCCAATGCGGATATATTCACACCGTACCATCAAAAGTCTTATGGATAGACCAAGATTTGCTCAGCATAAATTTGAAGGGTGGGCGTGAAGTACGGTCGAGACCCATATCGACACAGTTCAAAAGTTATACCTAATTTTTGTCATAATTATGTCAGCTACAAAAACACTTAGTTTGAATTTCGTCACCCTTGGGAACACTATGAACCAGTATAGCTCACACTTATTTGAACCACATTTTCTCGTTAATGTTAAAATATTATTAAAAAGTAATTAATCCTGAATTATGTCGCTATTATGTCAAGTGTTTTAAGATAAAGAATTTGTTTTTTGGTTTCCACAGTGAATAGTATGAACAAAATTCAGATGGGGGAGTCGAAATTTTAGATTTCGATTTTTTTTAAGCTATGCATTACAAAAACTAATATTGGTATGTGATTTATGTCAGAATTATGTCAATTCATATAAAACATCTTAAAATTTTTTGACCAAAGTACACCATAGAAAATCAATTTTCAATTTTGGACTAGGGGCGACCCTAGTCAAAATCAATTTTGTCACTTTTTTCTTCGAGGGTTTATCCAAATGGATTGAAACTTTGCATAAATATTCTAGTGCTTAAAAAAAATACAAATAAAACATCCTAAATTTTTTTTGAGCAAAGAACCAAGTAAGAAATACATTTTCAATTTTGGACTAGGGGCGACCCTAGTCAAAATCAATTTTGTCACTTTTTTCTTCGAGGGTTTATCCAAATGGATTGAAACTTTGCATAAATATTCTAGTGCTTAAAACAAATACAAATAAAACATCTTAAATTTTTTTTGAGCAAAGAACCAAGTAGGAAATACAATTTCAATTTTGGACTAGGGGCGACCCTAGTCAAAATCAATTTTGTCACTTTTTTCTTCGAGGGTTTATCCAAATGGATTGAAACTTTGCATAAATATTCTAGTGCTTAAAAAAAATACAAATAAAACATCCTAAATTTTTTTTGAGCAAAGAACCAAGTAAGAAATACATTTTCAATTTTGGACTAGGGACGACCCTAGTCAAAATCAATTTTCTCACTTTTTTCTTCGAGCGTTTATCCAAATGGATTGAAACTTTGCATAAATATTCTAGTGCTTAAATCAAATACAAATAAAACATCCTAAAATTTTTTTGAGCAAAAAACCAAGTAGGAATTACATTTTCAATTTTGGACTAGGGGCGACCCTAGTCAAAATCAATTTTGTCACTTTTTTCTTCGAGGGTTTATCCAAATGGATTGAAACTTTGCATAAATATTCTGGTGCTTAAAACAAATACAAATAAAACATCTTAAATTTTTTTTGAGCAAAGAACCAAGTAGGAAATACAATTTCAATTTTGGACTAGGGGCGACTCTAGTCAAAATCAATTTTCTCACTTTTTTCTTCGAGGGTTTATCCAAATGGATTGAAACTTTGCATAAATATTCTAGTGCTTAAAAAAAATACAAATAAAACATCTTAAAATTTTTTTGAGCAAAGAACCAAGTAAGAAATACATTTTCAATTTTGGACTAGGGACGACCCTAGTCAAAATCAATTTTGTCACTTTTTTCTTCGAGGGTTTATCCAAATGGATTGAAACTTTGCATAAATATTCAAGTGCTTAAAACAAATACAAATAAAACATCCTAAAATTTTTTTGAGCAAAGAACCAAGTAGGAATTACATTTTCCATTTTGGGATTAGGGACGACCCTAGTCAAAATCAATTTTGTAACTTTTTTCTTCGAGGGTTTATCTAAAATGATTGAAACTTTGCATAAATATTCTAGTGCTTAAAACAAATACAAATAAGACATCCTAAATTTTTTTGAGCAAAGAACCAAGTAGGAAATATATTTTCAATTATGAACCTGGGACAGGTCTAGTCAAAATCAATTTTGTCACTTTTTTTCTTCGAAGGTTTATCCAATTACAGTGAAACTTTGTGTGAGTATACTAATATTTATACAAAACAGTTTTAAATATCTAAAGCAAGAAATGTATTCTATATGTCGTCAGACCAAAATTTTATAAACTTGGTTGTACATTCAAAAACAACGTGACTTAAAATTTTGTCCCAAAAAATGATTTTTATTAATTCAGAAATGTGTGACCTGAGGATTAAAATGCTCATACAAAGTTTTACTGTATTTGGATTTATCCTCGAAGAAAAAAAAGTGAAAAACTAGATTTTGACTGGACCTGTCCCAAGTTTATAATTGAAAATGTATTTCCTACTTGGTTCTTTGCTCAAAAAAATTTTTTTCTTCGAAAGTTTAATTTAAAAAAATCACAGTTAACTTTTAATTTGAAAAATTCGTAAAGGAAAGTTTTTTGCATTTTCTGAAGCAACGGCTGTTCCTACCTTGCCTAAAAACAATACAGCTCTTCTATAGAGCAGCACGGATCAAATGTAAAAAACTAGAAGTCTCTACGATGTCTCGTTATTGAGATTTTCTACCGATTAACTTGCTTGCTTGCTTTCAGAAAGCGTATTTTTCGATTTTCTCAGCAACGCCGCAACCAATTTGAAATCTGTTTTTTGCAAAAAATGTGAAATTCAAGGCACAAACTTTTCATCTTTGAACATTTTAAGCTATTTAAATTCAAAAAACTGATTTTTCAATCTGAACAAAACCAATAGGTTCACACGTGAAAACGGTGTGAATATAAAAAAATTGTTTATTGATTTTATGTTAATAAAAATTTTCCATATCAAAAAACTCATTCACATTTATTTTGAACGAAGGCACAAGAAACAGAAAGGAAAGCATGTAAAGTTGTAAATCGACTGTGTGAACATTTAATGTGTATTGATTTATTTTATCGACATCGTTCACGTCTCACGTTTGAATTCCCTCGTTGGTGGCTGTTTCATGCGTGTGTATCTCTCTTTTTTTTTATTTCCATTACTTAATTCTTTGTTCATTCTCTCGTTCAGTCGACCGCTTACATCCATATATATTTTATGAAGACGAGAAAATAAAATTTTACATGAGCTGTTTTGTGCTTCCTCTGCATTATGGTAATATTGAACCTTAAATCAAAAATTCAAGAAATTGGCTTAAATATTGAGATTCAGTTCAATAAGCTTTAAGTCATGCGCCATTGGAGGGAATAAATTCTGGGCTGATTTTAGCTAATTCAAGCAGGAATACTTTTGAGAAAATTTTGTCAGATTTTTCTTCTTGATTTCTTTAACTTGCTAACTGAGTACCTCATCTTCTCATTCATCCTTAGTCCCCTATTTGGTATCTCCTAGTTATATCTCTACATCGATCTTTCCTTCAAACACTCTCTGTCCTACAATCAACCTTCCTTGAGTCAGCAAAAAAAGGTCTATATGCTCAAAATTTTCATCCATTTTTACCTACTTTCGAGCACCCAAACCTATTAGTTTTGTTCCATTAAACATTGTTTATTGCAACTTAATGGAAAAAATAAATAGCAGTGAGCCATTTAGGAAACGAAAGCGATAGACGCGCTATTAATTTATTTCAATCATTCATTCGCTTCTTCTTACTGAATTTCCTAGATTGAAAGGTACTTTACGTTCGACTCCCATTGTTGAATAGTGTTTGCGTGACTTGAACCATTCCTTCCTCAGTTTTGATGTAAAAATAAATATTTTTGAAATCGTCGAGAAGGAAGTTCGGTCTGAAGCCAAGTTTTACAGGTTTTAAGGTCGATGAAGCATATAGCCCATTTTTTATGCTCGCAATTCTTATTTTTACAATTTGCAGATAGTTTTCATAATTTGTCAAGTAGGTTGACATTAAATTATATTAAGATTATACTCAGACAAAATAGAAACAACAAAAAATCGTTAATGTAATTTTACTATCCAAAAATTATCAGAAACCTTTCATTGTGCTAGCTTTCTATTACGACTAGCCATCAATTCTTAATATTTACTTTTTTCAAGCACGATGCACGTCAACGACCTTTTTGAAGTCGTGCATATTAAATCATAAAGCACAATGTGCAAAAATTCTTTGCCTATTCTATGTCGCTTCCATAAAGGAATCATATTTAATAGAAACTTAAAGCTGATTTTGGCTTTTTTCCTTAATAATATACACAAATTATATCGAACTGTATGTTGTTTTCGCTTCATGTGTCTAGAATGTAATTTCGTTCCTTCCAGCTCAATTCACTTCCTTAACGTTTATGTTTTTGAGACTAGAGATGGTTGTTGGAAGGGAGGGTGGTTAAATTATTGAAGAATAGGGGTTTGAGTTATCAAAATCAACGTACCTCAAAACAGGGATTCTATATAATTTTAATATGGATGTTTCTAGTTTTTTGGAACCAAAGAATTTGCCACATACATCAGTAAATTAGCCAAAACCTCACAACCCTTGCAATTTCTTTATAAACTTTCCCATGCATATGTGGTATGCATGATAGCATATGTGGAAGTTTTGTTACTTTTTCATAATCAAAATTTTTTTTCCATACCTAACATGATATAATTTAAAATAATACGACGACGACGTGATTTATAGTTAATAATAATAATAAGTGTATATAGAATCAGGGGCGTAGCCAGGGGGGGCCATAGGGGGCCCAGGCCCCCCCTACGAAAATCTGATAATTGTTTTATTAAGTATTTATAGAGAAGAACCAGTTAATATAGAGGAAGTGATGAAAGAAATGTCAAAATCAGCACGAAAAATTAAATTTAATGTATGAATAATGAATTAAATATTTAAACTTATGAAGAATGAATATAGATTAAAGGATACAAAATAACAGTTTTTTAATTTTCGAAAATGGGCCCCCCCTTAAAAATTTTCTGGCTACGCCCCTGTATAGAATGTAATTAAACCACAAAAGGGGAGAAAAATTTTCATAAATAAATAATTTTCATAATTGTGAAAATCAGCTTTAAGTTGCTGTGGACTAATTGGATGAATGTTGACGAATGTCATGATTGGCATAAATTAAATAACAACGTAAATATATCATTTTTGACCCTCTTAATTTATGCATGCAACGTACATTTTGCTGCAGCCTCGTGTCCTTTGCTCTTAGCATTGTTTTCTTTGGTGTGATGGAAAAGTCTTGTTAAGAGTACTTTTTTGGTTCCATAAATGAGATCATTGAATACAAAAGTTAAAAAACTAATTTATTTTGAAGACATTTTAATGAATTAAGATCCACAACACTCGCCCGAGTGACACAAAGTTTATGTTGACTTGGTGGCGATGTGAAAGCAACACTTTGTTGAATTTCTCCATCCGCAAGACTGTCTTGTATGTAATTCGGGTCTACTTTTTTGGTTCAAAAAATACTCATCCTTTAAATAGTAACCGACACTCATTCTTAGACATCCAATCTTTGGACATCATAACTTAATGACTTTTTTTGACTTCCATTTTACCCTCTTAAAAAGTCTTTGTTTTAAACACTTTACTATAACCAGGCATAACATTTAAATTCCATAACAAATTTCAACCCACACACATTAAAATTACACAAAATTTCACATTCATTCATGGAAATTAAATTAGCAAATTGTCACACACCACAAACTCCAAAATTCAATTTTGAGCAAAATTTCATTTCCATCGATGTTAAAACCATTAATTTATAAATACGCGTGTGCGTGTGCTGATATGAAAATTATTTAATAAGGAAATGCCAATTAAATATTAATAATGTGTGTCTGTAGCATTGGAATAGATATGAAAAAGGAGCAGCTCCAAATGAAATAGGAAATGTGTTACGCCCTTGTATTTATTTATTTATTTATTCATATAACAGAAGTTAGCTTTTCAACAATTATATAAATCATGCAAATGATTTGTATTGTATCACTATTGTATCATAAAGTTTTGTGAGTTATAGGTTATGTGGATTTGTGCATTAATCAAAAGCAAATTTGTGATTGATAAATTGAATGTTTAAAACATTAGAGGACTAATCATCTCAGACTTATCTCTGAATTATAATTATATGCTGCTCAGGCGCGTAACCAGAAAGGTCTTGTCCCCCCCCCCCCCCCCTCCCCTTAAACGTTTTGAACCGCAGCGAGAACACGGCCTAAAACGCTTAAAGGGGCGACAAGACCCTGATGCAGTTATCTACCAGGTCTCGCCTAAAGAATTTGCTGGAGTTTTCCAACTCTCATGAAAATTCTGCACTTTAAGACAAAAAACCTCCACAGTTTATTTTTAAAAAAGTTAAATTTTCGCACGCAAAAGCCACACCAAGCCAGGCTATCGACAAAAATATTTAATCAAAATTGCATTTAACATGATGTAAAATTTTATGTAAATTTTGTGAACATCAACAAAGTCAATCAACAGCACATTTTGTATGCTGTAATGTATAACCTCCAAAACCACTATAGACAAAATAACACAAAAGCTTTAAATTTTCCAAATTTTCCCGGAGGCAATATTTCACAATTTTCATATGAAACATGTATTACTCCTGTGCTTTATAAGAGTAATGTAAATTAACACCTTCGCTTTATTCAGGTAGAATTTATAGAAATATGAGCGAAAATATTCGTTAAAGAATTTGATTCATAATGGCAGCGCCGAAATAGAAAAATTGAAACTTTAAGTTAATAATAATAATGTGAGAGGTTCCAGCCAAGCGATTTGTTACTACACTGCGATTCTGATCGATGATAGAATCTATTGTACCGTTTCCTGTGATTGAACTTAGATAGTATTAAGTAGCTCCGGCTCGGATCTCGCGTTACTCAATATAACCAACTCTACCTCGCTCTTTTATAATCCTGTTTAAATCTATATGGATATTTCAATAAGCTCATTTAAACGCCCAATATGTGCTTACCATCTACATAATTGATAAAATCGCACTCATGAAACACAAACAGACCATAATGTACGAGAAGAGCTACCTAAATGTTATTATGCACGCTTAACTGCCACAAATAAAAATATTTTCATGCAAATGTAATGAAAATAAGTTCTGAACTTTACATATCGATGGCTGCTAACGATTTACTCATTCATGTAAATGTATTTCATACATAATTAACATTTGGGATCAAATCGGTCAATTAGACATAATAACTTGAGGTCTGTTATTTCAGATGATATGCTTTGGCATTAGAAATATTGTTGACGAAAGTTTGACTGTTGATTATCTTGATGACTTGACTGATTTTGTTGGAATATTTATTGACACATATTTATAGGTTTTTTTCAATGATTCATGGAATTGTGCTTGTGGTTTATTGTTAAATGATGGAGCTGATGGCTGATTCATAACATAGATTTCACTAGTGATCCAAATCACTCAAGATCCTTAATACCAATTTCTTGAAAAACTAAGCCTCATAATTGAAAAGTTCCCAAAATTTATTAAATTTCCCACCATAAAAATGATCATAAATTCTGGCACATAAAAAAATAGCAATCAGATGTGGGAATATAGCATAAATTATTCATCCACGCACTTTTTTGCCCCCATGAGGTCAATTGTGTTTTAATTGTATGTCGTTTCACATAAATCCATTAATTCTATACATTTTGCTGCTATAAACGAAACGATTAATTATTGGTGACAATGCCTGGCAGTACATGACTGTGGCTATGTGACTACCCTCCAAAAATTCACTTAATTACCTTTCAAATTTTATTAATTGTCATTTTATTTCATAGATGGAGGCATTAGTGAAAGAGATGCAGGATCCAGAAACCGGTGTGCCAGTTCGAAGTCAAAAAATCTTTCTCACATCAATTCCCTCAGCATTTATGGGCTATGACTTGATCGAATGGCTCATGGAACGTTTAAATGTGGAAGAATCTGAAGCACTTAATATGGCTAATCAGCTATGTCAACATGGTTACTTCTTTCCCGTAAGCGATTCCAAAACCCTTGTCGTTAAGGACGATTCTTCCTTATATCGCTTCCAATCCCCATATTATTGGCCATGGCGACAACAGAAAGCACCCGATCAAATTGAATATGCAATTTATTTAGCAAAACGTTCGTTGAGAAATAAGCAGCGACATGCCTTAGAGGATTATGAAACGGAAGCTCTGGCTTCATTACATAAAAACTTGAAAGGCAAATGGGACTTTATTATGATGCAAGCAGAAGAGCAAATTAAGCTTGCAAAGGATCGAAAAAAGGGCGATAAAATTGTAAGTGATTCACAAGAGCGTGCATATTGGCGTGTTCATCGTCCACCGCCTGGTCAATTCACACCATTAGAGCCATGTCCAGTGCCATCAAGAGATCGTCAAGGAAAGCCTCGGAAACGTACTGAAGAGGACTGGAAACGTGAAGTTAAAATAACGCGCACATCAATGGGTCGAAATCGCATGAAAATGTCATCAGCTTGTGAGAGTTTGGTGGCTTATTTTGAAACATTTGCTGAATATGATCCACTTATGCAACCAGCTCTGCCTTCAAACCCTTGGGTATCTGAAGACATCACTTATTGGATACTCAATCAACAAATGGTCGAGACACCAACTGAGAAGCGTGTAAAGCGTTGGGCAATTTCAATCGAGGAATTAGTAAAAGATCCAACAGGTCAACTCGAATTTACAACGTACTTACGAAAAGAATATTCGCATGAAAATATAAGGTTTTGGTCTGCTGTCAATGACTTGAGACGTTCATCACACTCACAAATAACCAGAAAAGCGAGGGAAATTTATTCGTAAGGAATCATTAACGTTTTGTTGGATGGAATATTTTTTGCTAAAGTTTATTGTTCTTGGAATAAAGTTCCTTGGGTGTAAATTATGTTAGAAATAAGGTTTAACTTTTTGAGCTTATATTTTGAAAAAATTGAGGTTAGCTTCAATGAAATATTGAGGTTAGGTTTAAATATGCCTGAGCTTAATTAAATAATATTGAGGTGAGGTTCAGGATAAATTGAGGTTACACTCATAAAAAAAATTTAACATTTTTCATTGTTATTTCGTTGTAAACCAGATTTAACAATGACATTGTTAAATTTATATGACGAAAAAAAAAGTTAACAATTTCATCGTTAAAATTATTTTTACAATCAATTAACGATAAGATTGTAACGTAACGATGGTGATTGTTAATTTTACAATGGTCATCGTTAATATTAAATTTTAAATAATTTAACTTTATTTAAGTTTTGAATAATCATAATTAAATAAAAATTCAGTATGAAAAGTGAGTTTTATTTCTGTGTACTTAAGAATTATAAAAATTTAAAAAAGTTGATTTTTTATTAAAAAATGTTGTACTTCAATTAATATTCGTTAATTAAATTATTTTTCAATACTTTCTATTGATGTTTGACAAAAATTATAATTAAAATCTTATTCATTTTCACTATCTTTAAAATTTACCTTTTCATTTAAATAATTATTTTGTCACTTTTAAATCAGATAAAAAATTAAGAAATGCGATTACGATTAAACAGGCGACATTGGAAGTTAAGCAACGAAATTTCATTTCCTTTTTGGATGGGTGACCATTTTTTCTTCGAAATTTTTTTTTAACAATATGATTGTTAAATTTTACAATTTCATTGTTGACAAAAATTTTTACAATGGTCATTGTTAATTTTAACAATTTCATGGTCAACGCTATTTTAATCATGACATTGTTAAAATTTTCATACAAAGTAACAATGCATTGTTAATTTTTTTTTATGAGTGTAGGGATGAATAAAAATGAGGTTACAAATTAAATTTTTTCTGGGCTTATAAAACAAAATTCATCTAGGGTACATTTATAAATGATATATAACTTTCAATTGACGTTATTTATGAAATACCTTCCTCTTACAAATTATCTATCAAAAATCCTAAAATTGCAAACAAACTGTCCACAGAGAATTTCTCGAACCCGGTGCACCATGCGAAATCAATATTGATGGAAAAACAATGGAGAAAGTACAGCAGGGACTAAAGGCGCCATCACGTTTCACATTTGATGTTGCAGCTGAACATGTTTATACACTTTTGCTCAAAAAAGATTGCTATCCACGCTTCATACGCTCGGAGCATTACAAAAATCTTTTAGCTAACGCCATTCAACCATCACAAAAGAAGCGGTAATTTAATGGAAAAAGGAAAATTTATTTTTAAGTAATTAGATTCTTTTGTGTTCCTTCCTTACTTTCGCTGCCTGCCCCTCCAATTACAACAAACAGATTCTTCGGATTTGGTGGTCCGGCAAAAAAGAAACCCTCGACAACGACTTCAACGAATCAATCTCTTCTTGGTCAAGTATGTTATTTTGTAATTATAGCAATTTTAAGACAATATTAAAGTTTTATTCTCTTTAGATGCCCGGTCCATCTAGCAATTCATCATTAACAAGACGTCGTGGAAGCGACAGAAGCCTTTCCGGGTCGGCACATGAACTTGCAGTATGCGGGATAAAGCAAGATCCATCAAAAGTGCCACACTCGCATAGTCAGAGCAATTTAAGTGAAATTCCATATCGGTGAGTCTTTCTTGTTATTAATATTGAATGAGTTCTGTTCTTTTTTGGATTGAACTGATTTTTTGCAGACAATTTTCGAATACTAGCAAAACAAAATTGCATCGATGAAAATAATTAAAACGTTTGAGTTGTGTGAAGTTAGTTTGAATTTTTGTTTTTAAGATTTGAATTTTAACGGTTTTGTTTGATTTGAATTATAACCGTTTTGTAAGATTTGAATTTAACAGTTTTGTAAGCTTTGAATTTTAACGGTTTTGTCAGATTTTAACTTTAACGGTTTTGTGAGTTTTGATGTTAAACTGTTTTGTAAGATTTGAAGTTTAACAATTTTGTAGATTTGAATTTTAACAGCTTTATTAGTCTTAAAAAATTAATCTTTAAACAAAAATTTAAAGCTAACTTCTCGCTAATGATTATTTTTAAAAAATGATATAATTAACAGTTTATTTCCTTCATTTCGCTCTTGTTTGAATTCATTTTGTTAAAGCGATTAAAAAAATACACAAGAAAATTAAATGATCATGTTTATTTTATTGTAATTAATTTATTCAACTTCTATCTAAATCTATCTCTATTTATCTTCATTGCGCTTTGCTTCAAACTTCATATCATATTTACATTTTTATTACTAAAATGCGAGAAATTTTCTCTCTTTTGTTTATCGTAATAATCATCACCATAATAACATCTTCATCATCCTCATAATCGTCATTATTATAACATCTTTTATGAATAAATTATAGTTTATTGTCTGATTTTCACTATTGTTTAACTTTTAAAAAACTCAATGAGCCTTCAAGTGCAAATTAAAATGTTTTCATATTGAAAACTTTGTTTCGCATAGCTTTATAGCTTTAATAAAACTTTATCGTGATGATCTTGAGATTAGGACTGTTACTGTGTGAAATAAAGTAAATTGTAGTCAGAGCTTTTGAGTTTATATCCCTGTAACAAATGACAAAAGTAAATAAAACAAACTTAGTTTACTGCTACAGCTGTGCGATTTATGGCAACAAGTTTGTTTATGGATTGAGGCTAATGATGAATTTAACTTTATAGACGGGATCTATTTTAACTTTTGATTAATACTTAATTTTAATGACTTAACCTAGAAATTAAGGAGATTCTGATAGCTTTAAGATATTTTTTGTCCAGTCATATTTTGATCAAGCAGCCCATTCAACGATGATGCAACTCAGCATGTAAACTACTGACAATATGTCAAGACTGTTGAGTTTCATTTGTAATTTCATAATCAGCATTGAACCATCAAAATCTTACTTTTCTTTACCCCAACTTAAAGCCTTCATAACAACTCTCGTTCAATCCGATTGGCAACAACTCACTCGAGATTATTCTATGCATATAAATAGCCTCCTGTAAAAATTTGATTACTCTCGATATACATGAGTTTTGTCTACTGACATTGAAAGTATTTCCATAACTTTCTCTTATTTTATTGCCTACTTCACCTTGCAAATCTTGTCTGAATTCTCATTAAATATTAATCCATTCGTGGAAATTGTCCAACATTTTCATAAAAAATTCATTCTTGATAAATTAAGGATTTCAACAAGTCGATGAATAGCTGCCATGAGACTTGGAATTAAGTTTAGTAAGAATAAATATTTCTGTCAATTTGCTGCCTGTCAGCTTTTAATGACAAGTTGGATTTTCTATGCTTTTTGAGCTTTTGTTTTGTGAGAAAATTAATGCTGAGGTGACATAAATTTTTTTTAATTGATTAGAAGTTGATTGCTACAGAGTTGGTGCTTTAAACTAATCTGAGATTTAATTTGAATTCAACAGTCTAGTTCATGCAAAATTTAAGCCTTCATCATCATCTGACATCATTTGAAAAAAAGGCAGCTACATCCTGAAAATAGGAAATTAAATGCCTTAATACTCTTACTTTATTTTTCAACATGAACAGTCAAGAATTTCCTGTTCCTGCTCATACATAATTTATTAATATTAGACACAAAATTCTCAATGCACGGTAATTTCGATTTCACGCCGTTTAGGAAGTCGAACAACTTCAGTTTTTTGAAGGAATTTAAATCATCACCTCATTCCTTATTCACTTAATTCCACTCGCGCATTTTCGTCTCGTGCTTGACTTTAGGTGGAGTCAATTGCCTCAACCATGTTTTTAAAAATCATTGAAGGATGGAAATCAGACGTAAAAGTTTATTTTCCGATTTTTCGTTTCGAATTTCCGTTATTTTTTTCGTTTCTTTCCTCCGTTTTTCCATTTACAATTTCATGAATATTTTAGCCTCGTGAAACTGCCTTTTTTGCTTTATTCAATTTTCATTTTATTTTATTTTTCAATCTATTTCTCTTTCTCTCCTTCTCATTTCCTTTATGACGTTCTGTCATGCCATTTTTTATTGCCTTTTAAATAGACATGCTACTGTTACTTACATATAATACTCTTTTACTATTAGCTATTTCTTGCTATTTTAATATTACATTATAATGTAAATTCATCATCATCATCATTGTTATTATTAGAGTTCATGATTCTCTTCGAACGCATTTTCTAGGGAAGGTTGCGTTTTGAGATGCAATTTGTCGGTTGCAGTTTTCATGGTAGTCGACTTGATATATTTTTGATGGGATTTCTTTCTGGATCTAGTTTGTAAGGGGTGTATTAATGTATTTTAACCACTGTAGTATTATTGACAAAATTTAGAATAACAGAATCGAAAATTATAGAGTTTGAAATTCTTACATAACTGCTTTTGAGTCTTCAAGACCTAAAAAAGCTAGTTCATAGTAGATGAGCTACGAACTTTTGAGTTGCTACCCGAGCACTTGTTTAAATGTGGTTTGTTTTACAGTTCTTAAAATAAAAATATCCTAATAAAATAAAGAAAACAGCTCAATAAAAGATTTTAGGCTGCTAGTAGCTTAAAATTTCAACTATTTTCATTTTCATTATCGAATGGGATATCCATCCATTTTTAGGCCTGTCTGCTAATGTGATAGTAAATCTTTTCTGGACGAGTGGTTTGGTTCTGCCTATAAAAATTTTTTGATTCTATATTTTACAAAGACTTGTGTTCGATTCCTAGAAAAACCGAACCTTTGAATCATTACATAGACCATACTCTAGACATTACATTAAGAATAAATTTCAAATAAAAACTGAAATGTTCGGGTTATATGTGTTAAAGTTTATTATAAGCATGAACAATCTAGCTTCATAGTTCTTAAGTAATGATATTTAAAACTAGTATAGATTGGTTTAGATAAATATAGTAAACATTAATTTGCTTTTTAAGAAATATTACCAATATTACATAAAAATATTTAACAGCACGAAAAGATAAAATAATCGTAGCCTAGCTTATTATAATGATAAAACTTGTTTTGAATTTCATGCAACCAAAAACTAATGCAACTGACTAAACAAGTTCCTAGAAAATGCATCTTGTACATTTAATTCTAACGACTAAGTTCTATTTAATTTCATTTTTTTTTTATCTTCATTTCATTTTCCTTTTTCTTTGCATATGTTTATAAAAATAAAACAAACTTAATATAGAAAAAAAATGTTCGCATTCATTCATTCATAGAGATATAAAAATATATTCTTCTAGATGATATGAAAAAATAGAAAAAAATAATTTAACTTTATAAAATAGAAATAGAGTACAAAATAAATATTTAGATTTCAACATATAAACTACAAAAAAAAGAAATTTAAATGTAATACACAGAGGAAAAATTCTTTCCTCATATTCATGTCGCCATTTATAATTTAAACTCCTTACTCGTGTCACCCTCGTTAGGAGGAAAACAAACTTTTATTTATTTACTTTTTCATTAAACTTATAAATAAATTTATTTATTTTTCAAAAAAAATAGCATTTTACACACACACACGCACAGAAAAAATATTTTTTGAAGCTTTTTCTTGTTCTCGGAAGTATGAGACTTTGTGCTGAGGGAAAGGAAATCTTTTATTGAAAGAATATCTTGTTTTGTAGGCAGTTTTTGGATTGAGTACTCATAAAATATTTGTTGTTGATTGATATTACCCAAAAAATGATTCTTATCGGAATCAAGGGTGTTGCACTGATCAAACTTACTATTTTTTAATTGTTGGTCATCTCAGATCACTAAGAGTGAGAGTTGTGATCGCGTATGTCCTAAGATTTAACAGTAAACACATAGCTTGGCTTTGTTAAGGTTCCGATCACAAGCTTAATTTCAGGAGGAAAGTTTCTGCCTCCAAGGACCATAAAATATTTTCTCAAAAACCAAAAAAATAATTCAATCCTACACACAGCTCAGGGCTAAATGAAACATTAAAGCAAAGCATCTACTTATTTTTTTAATCCAAATCCATTTTGAAACTGACATATGTGCGAGAATAATTCCTTGTGTGGCTTTCACATATGTATGCGACATGATAAATTGAAATTTTTCATAAGCTCTTTTCCTGCTTGCTTAAGGGGGTCTGTTTTAATTCATTTGACTTGAAAAGCTGCCTTTAAATTGTGTCAAATTAGGAAAAGATGAAAAAATTAATTTTAAAAAATCTTTGGAACCCATCGTCGTGGATTCTTGGTACACCCCTGAATCTCCAAATTAAAAACCTAAGAAAAGAAAGAATTGAGAGAATTTTTGATTGCGCTGGCTCCCCCCTCCCTCCTGTCAGCAAATTAAAAATCTGAATAATGAAGTCTCGTCTGAATTTGAACATTAAAAAAGTCATGAAATGAACAAACACAAAAAGTTTATTTTATCCGAGAGCATTAAAGAAAAGCTTCAAGCTACATAATTCATTAATTATGATTTTGATGAGAAAATAAAAAGAATCTTTTTTATGTTCTCAATTTTCAATGTTGTTGATGTATGAAAAAAAAAATTTAATTAACATGAAATATTTTTGTACATAAACGACTCAAACATGCCAAAACTATTTCATTCTTCAGAACGATGATATACAGAGGAGATATGCCTCAGTCTGGAATCTTATTGGCCGA